CTCCTCCACTCCCTGCGAAGGGATATTCCAATTAATGAGCCCCTTGTGAAAAATTAGATTTACTATACTGGAGACGAGATAGAACTTAGACAAGACCAAAAGAGGAAACAGATGGGTGAACCAATTTGAGGTGTGGCAGCCTCATCGGGGTGACTGTGATCATCCTATTATGCAGTATAGGAAGTAATGAGACAGAACCAGTGATTTCGATGGGTATTGATCGGTATTGATACGAGAATGAGTAGCGGACCGGGCGATGGGATTGGGGGAAGGGGTGGTAAAGTTTGACTTTGACAGTCCTGTCAAAGTTATGTGCTTCTAAGAAGAAGGCTGACAGTGAGGACTGGGCCGTACCGTTGGGTGACTTCCATTTACACTCCATATCCCGAAGATGAAGAGGGCGTGGCTGCGCACTCCTCCTAGCGTGGCGACAGTTACACTTTTACCGGCTTGTTGCCGTTTTGGTATAACTATGTCATCATGTCTTTGTTCAGCACAAGGCAGGATCACAGTTGTCTCAGGGGAAACATCCCAATGATACTATGCATCTATGCATCCAATACCATTTTCAAATGAAGTACGCAGCCACACCCACTCTATCTTCGGGATATGGGGAATGAATCATGTCTTGGATGGCCTGTATCTGAATTGCCATGCGACCTCTATAGCGTCAGCAAACAGTCTATACTCAAGTATAGGGCCTTGAAGTCTGCATCAACGTGAACATCATTCGGGGTGGGGCAGACCTGCAAGCACTTGTCAGCATACCAATACCTGTTAACCGTATACAATTGATTACCGGACAACTTGTCAACACCCTATGAGTCTTGTTGTCACCTGCAAAACACCCTGTAAACTCCTGTCAAACTTGTCAAAATGACTGGTCAAGATTTGGAAAAAAGGGATAAATGACGATCCAATGACGCCAGTACCATTTCGCCAAGCTTGACAGGAGTTCGCAGGTTACTTGACGGGAATTTACAGAACTTGCAGTGTGAGACACGATTGTCGGGTTTTCACATGTATACAATTAACACGTTACCAATTAATTTACAATTAGCAAAGCTCGCATGCTGTCATGATGTCCCCCCACTGGCGCCATTGCACTTCTAAGTAAGTGTGTACTACAGAAACCCTTACTATTTCTTACTCTTTCTGTCCCTCCTACACGCTGCCATGAATGTTCTAGTAAATCGTACCGTATCCAGCCATTGACCGGGACCAATTTTCTTGTCGCAGAACCCCATTTGGTGCATGTACAACATAATAAACGTGAATATTTATGGAGTCGATCAGATTTCAAAAACCGTGTGATTTATGAGGCAAATGACATCTGCGTCGGTGGCAAGACGGCGCCACCATCTTTGTTTATATTGAGTGATTTGTATTTGGCAATAATTGCTCATTGGCAATCTGTCAGCTAAGTAGTGGGGCCCTAGTCATGACCATGCTTTCAGAAGAAGGAACATTTGGGAATCCGTTCCGATTGGGGATCCTGGACAGGAGTTCGGGCAGAGTTCGGCCTGGGAGAGGCATTTTGCGGTTCCGCTAATTCCCACCGTCGCGTTCATTGCTTCACAAGTGTTGACAAGTATTCTTTACCAAGAGGTCGACAAGTCTCTTGCAAACTTCGACTGGTACAATTTCGTGGCTTCACAAGATTATCACAAGATCTCCAATGGTGGCCTATCTACGACGATGGGGAGTGCATAAGTGGCAAAAAACGTCCCCCCCCCCCTCCAGAGCCGAGCTCGCGTTGAGCTGATTCATGACAGAAGAAGCACCCTTCCTTAGTCTAATAATCATAGTTCATAAAATACAATGCTTGGGTCACGGCGATTAGTTCCTCTGCCCCGCGACCACTAGAGCGGTCAGGTGGCCCCAGTCGTTGACCCCTAGTCTATGCGACGTGATAGATGGCGACCAGTTCATGAGTGATGGTCTTATTTCCATATGTGGCTGACCTGAGCCCTCGTGGGATCCTCGACCCTTTCTCTGGACAGCAGCCATATATCATCTGTGCAAATAGAAGGCTCCAGGCGATAAGATGATGACCATTAGGCACGGCCAGCGTGATGGGTCTGTCTGTCAATGGTGAACCGGACACTGCTTTCAATCATTGCGGCCGAATTGATGACCACTGATCCCATAGGAGCGCTAGTGCGATGACGGTCTTTAGATTGGTTCGCGTTCCTAGAATTGCCTCGAACATGGACCGAGTACAGCAGTGCTCTGGAGCCGCTGTGGCATGCGCCATCCAGAATGACTTCCTCCTAGAATCAGGAGAGGTTTGTTTTTCGAATGCGCAGATACACCCTAGAAGTAGAGGCGACCTTTCTGAGGCATAGCCGTGATGAAGTGAGGATTTATCTACCTGGGGTTCGGTTCGCAGATGGGGTAGTGTAGTGGCGCAAACAGGTCTACTAAGCGCGAGAAACCGGAGGGCCAGATCGCTGTCGATCTATCGCAAACTTGTTTCATCCTTTCAGCTGCAACCATTATAGCAGATATCGAAGACGAAGAAGCTCTAAATCAAGGCTGAGAGGGTTCCATTACATAGTTTTCTCCCATGCCAATGTAGCGACACCACGAGCTTTTATCCCACCAGACTTTACCATCGAGCCGTCGTTACCGTCAGCGTCAGAGCCTTCTCAGTCCAGAAGTCTCATACTGCGCTAAAATGGTGAGGAGCACCGGACTTGCGGTGGTCAGTGGCGTACCCATACATAGAGCTGCTGACTACCGGATCAGAAAAGCAGCTGCCACTTCAAAGCCCTGAGAGCGACCGCCAGCAAAGAGGACTGCGCATGAATGTCGCAAGAATGATCTCGATGAATCCAAGGCCACAGCAGAAAGTGCCTTGGACAAGAGGAGATGGCGACGTCTAACAAAACAGCGAAAACCTTGACGGCGTCCTGAGCGGGAAGATTCTTTTCTGTGCTAGTAGTGTGTACCTGCTGTGCCTACGACATACCAAATCCCAAGCTGTCCGAGCATGGGTCTTACGAAATCAGAAAACACCATCGGGTTGTGGGAAGAAAAATAATCCCTCAAAAGTTCAGGCCGCTCCCCGCAGGCTCCCCTCGATCATCTTTTGCAAGCTTCCTTTTTGCCAAAAATTTTGCAGACTAGCGGGGGTGTTGGGAGGCACAGAACAATCGATCGGAAGAATCAGATGTTGGTTTTCTCCTTTTTTTTCCTCGGCGTGAAATACGACCCTCCCTACACCACCTCGCTGTAATTTTCACAACAATGATGTGCCCTTCTACGGGCGTTTTGAGACGTTCACGTTATGTTTCCGTGGCGCCATGTTCAGTTTTTCGGCTATTTTGGCCCTTCGTCTATCACATGACCAAGGGATTCCCCCCTCAACCCCTTTATTTCCAGCCCCCTCTTGCTCCTAGATAGCAGATCCCATAAAGGACATCTCGTTGCATCGTTGAGATCTCAAGTATTTGTCATGAGTATTTGAGGCAAGGACGACGATGACCACCGTTATTGGATGCGCTAGGAATGCAATATGTGTAATTGGCATCGTAATCCGGATCCATCATTAGTAGAAGCTTGGCACCTAATTGAATGGAAATGAACGTTGCGTGTAACCCTAGGGCATCAATGAGTGAGGTCTCTATATGTCTCACTCAGAGTCTGACCCCTCCTGGCTTCGTACGGACTCATCTTGGCCTTGTACGGAGAAGAAAAGCTGGACTCATGAGAAACCAACAACCGCTTGCCCGAAACGATGGCAGTATAGAAGGTGGAGTTCTGGCAGATTCTCTGAATGGTTGCCCCGCATTTCTGCCAAAAAGCAACCCAAGAGGGTGAAGGGGGGGGGGAGAAACAATTCTCTCAACTGCAGTGAGAGCCCATTCCATGGAACACCAAACTCAGGTTCAAGGAAATGAACAGCTACAGAGTTTTTTCTGCTCCTCCTCCTATTCTCTTCCTGACCTCATCTGTTGCTGCTTTAGTTGCTCCGAGGCTACACAAGTCCCAAAAGCGGCCCAATGCTAATGAATTTGCCTTGCCCCTCGGAGCTCTAACGACCGCTAATCGTCCAACATGCAAACGAGTGACCCATGTGACAGAAAAAAGCCGGCTGTGATGTAACGAGAAAAAACGGATTAACTCGCGCTGACGTGCCTAACAGCCGCGACAAAAGATTATTGAACACGAAAGCTTGAATGTTCAAGTGACTCTTTTGAGTCGGGGAGGTAAATATGACCAGGGAAACGTGACTATCCCTCTAGAGGGCCTCGATGTCCATACAAGGGTAAGATTTCCGTAGTAAATGAGGTTGCGACTTGACTATTCTAAGGATAAGAGCGAAGCAAATTTTTAAACCCATATGCCAAACCCATTTTCCCACAGAGTCGGTTCACCTACATCGGAACTTCCTCTCCCAGTCTTAGACAGAATGCGGAGTTCAGGGTGAAGAACTCCTCTCGCTGCGATAAGTAGTGATTTTCTTACGTTCCTCAGCTTTTGGCTGAGCATCTGATGGCAGGCGGGAGAGGGGGGGGGAAGATGGGAGAGTGAAAGGATAGGAAGGGCTCATGCTTAACTGGTGCCTGGGAGACTGTTGTGAGGCGCAGTCCGGCTTGAGAGGGGCATTTTGTACTTTCGCTACGTCACACGAGTTGTGAATTGAAGTGATACCAGTCTAAGTACATGGAACTTACTTGTAACTCTCGCAAAGAAATGAATAATACGATGGAGAGAAGCGGAAACAAAATGCCCTCGCCCCTAAGAAATGAATAATACGATGGAGAGAAGCGGAAACAAAATGCCCTCCCCCCTCCAATCCAAACTGCGTCATCTTTTTTTATCAACTTCCACTTGAATCTCGCTCACAACTGTTAAGGGAACTCGCATAAGAGCGAATCGGAGAGTAATAGTAATAGTAACAGAAGTACGCTTCCGACTTTTTTCCCGATAAACTCACCAAAAGGTTAGTGTAGTGAGCGGACGATAACTTTTGTGACTTTGCGGTGAAGCGATTGGTTGACCCCAATAGTCCGTGCTTAGTACCTGAAATAAGACAAAATCCTTTTCAGCCGTAAATTTTTATTCATTGTATGTGCTAAGGGTTCTTGCTCAAAATAAAGAAGAAGACGCTAGCCCAAGATAGGTTTGCAGTCCTACATTACGTAGTAAAACATGTCACAATTCTCCCTGACCCTCCCCCTTAACGTGGGTGAGGAAAGAGCTCCTGTTGGGTGAACCTATCAAAAGGCAGAATCCCTTTTTTCCCCTCAAAGGAATTGGTTGGTCTTCGAAGGAGCCCCTTTCACATGAATTTTGACAAATTACTAAGCCCCAGCACTAAATGCTATCCAACCCTAACCTATAGCATACCCTAATTTTTAGTTCTCAGTTTTTCGTATGACGGCCAACCTGTTTGATGCTGCTCCGGCCATTCACAATTGGATTGTTGAGCACTGTAGCCGAATCATCGAAAACGAAGTCGCCATTCAGTGAAGGCAGAAATGGAAAGATGGCCAGAGCCATTACTATCACGACCTTGAGACCAGAACCATTCCAGAGTTGAATGGGGCACTTGGATGGGACATCTGAAATCGTTTTTCACGTGATTCTTCGATACTACTTTTCTTTTGAGCTGATCCTATCATCTACCAGCGTGAGCGCAGTTCGGCTCGGTGGGGGCATTTTGCTGGTTCGCTTGGATGACTGCTGGGCCCTGTAAATCCCTGTGAAGCTATACCATAGCACGAGTTTCGTTCAAACTTAACAGCAGTTTACAGGTCTTGCCAAGGTGGGACGTGAGATTCAACAGGGACTAACGAAAGAAGAGAATGCCCCTCCTGAGGCGAGAAACGCCATGCATTATGTCCAGAGCGGCTCTGCGGAAGGATAGCGCCCGAAGTAATTCATAACTGTGGATTTCAGGAGGAGTCACCACTGCTGTACCACGCTGCACCCCACTCTCCTCCAAACTCTCTTTTCTTATAATCCCGTTGCTAGCTTATGCTGCCCACTGAAAAGATTGATTAGAGGAAAAGGCAGGGTTTTCTCGGTGATTTATGGAAATTACTGGATACAAACCTAAGGCGGGCTGACTTTATTTCCTATGCTTTTCGCCAGCTTTCAGCCTAGGAAAGTCGAAAGCATAAACATTAAGGGTGAATGAACAGAGGACATTTGATGCGATTTGTAACGAGAAATCTTTCGACTCACCAACTTCATCCTCTCTTCGTTTCCACTTTAGTCGGCCACGCTTCATCTCATTGTCCAACGATCACCACGCTTCTGAGAACAATGGACTGAGGACATAAAGATATTGAGTAAAAAACCGTGGAAAAGAACCATCGAATGAAAGAAATGCATGAAAGAGGGCTGACAGAAAGAGAATTCGAAGAAAGAATCATCTCGAAGCCACTCAATAAGGCCATTTTTGGGCGCTTGTGTGCTTAGGAAAGGGGCGCATTTTGGCAAACCTGTTCTTATAGACGAGCAGCTTTGTCAAGGACCTGTGAGGCTCTTGTAAAGCTAGGAACTGGCATCAGATTCATCTTGAAAACCGATGTTATAGAGCGCGCTTGATTCCAATTTGGGCCTCAACGCCAAACTTTAAGAGACAATATTGTCAGGTATGCCAACAGGAGTTCACGGGATGCCCCCCCCCCCTTCCACTTGAATGAACCCAGCATCGGTGAGCTTAGGAATCAAGAGAGAAACAAAATAACATTGTTTATAAAAATAGCCAAAGTGTAACCATAGGCAGCAGTACGCTTGGTGAGGGCCATTAGTATAACCTAGCGAAGCATGTACACTCAACCTTGTGGGGATCTGCAAGTTCTTGGTAACCAAAGTGGTTCACCTCTACCACTTCGCAACTCCACAAGACCTTCAGTAAGCATGAACTAGCTGAAAGAACTGGCAGAAGTGCAATATGCCCCCCCCCCGCCGAGCCGACCAGCTTGCAGTAATTATGTTCATACAGATGCTAAGTCAAAGAATTAGATGTATAATGAATGACCTTAGGGTGGAACTATGGCTTGTCGCATTCTCAGCAAAAAATCATGAAAATCCCGTTCGTGGGAAAAAGGTAAAACAATGTAATGAAACTTTGTTCCCCCCACAACCACCCTATTCGCGAACTGACAATTGACGATCACATATTCAAGCGCCTTTATAATTCTGAATGTTCTATGGGTTGGTTAGGTGGCGTAAGCGGATTTGGCGCCGAAAGCTTCACTTCATTGAATTTTTCTCAGAAATATTGTATAGGAATGCACATCATGTATAAATAAATTATACTTGCTGTTATTGCCATGAAACTGATACAAAAAAACTTAAGAAATGCAGAAATGGTCCTCGAGACCGAATAGCCCACTATCACCTCAATAATAAAATATACGAAATAGTACATATCAATATGATTTAGGATAGCGTACTTCAACATGATCCGCTTTGGAGGGGGGGGGGGGTGGCGGATTTTTGTAGTTCCTGCAAGCATACCGCATACGATTTCGTTGAAATCCTGGAATCCCGTCGCAAGGGCGGCGAAATGGGTTCCGAGCTTCACTTCCGCAAGTTGCGCCTATTTTTTTCTTTATTTTTTTTTGCATGCCAGAAGTCACTTAGAGGCTGCTGAGAAACGATTGTGACAGAGAAATGAGAAACTGCGTTTGTATTTTGTGGGGAAGAGATCTCGGGGCAGTCGCAGCATCATTGTTAGTGGATTTCGGTTCGAGTCCGTAGACCCCCCCCTTTTTTTAAGGAGGCTGGAACGCCCCCCGCGCCTACCTGTTTCCCTCCTCATCGAGGTGTCGAACGAGGAGGGGAAAAACCACGAAAAGTCAACAAACTCTCTCAAAAGTTTAGAATGGAAGTACAACTCCACTACCTCTTCTCAGCGACCAAAACACGAACCTCCCACCCTGTTGGGGAATCCAACAACGATGTGCCCTGCCTCCGGCAGATGAAACGATTTATAAAAGAAATGGTTCAAAATAGGAATGAGAAAATGCAACATTCTGTAGCTTTAGGCAGGAGTTTACAAAAGCGCTCATCCGTAACCCAACTGCACCTCGCAAGGCATTCATGATTTGTCAAGCTAGCAGTAGAGGGAATTGGAATGTCTGACGAGAATTCCAAAAGTTTGTCTACTCAACGAACAGAAGTCGGTGCTGTTCGACTTGGAGGGAGCATTTTGCTCTTTCGCTGGTTTCTTTTGCTAGTACGTATTAAACAGCACGTTAACACCTGTAACTCTGGCAAGATGCGAATGTACAAGTGAACGACTCTGTGACAGGAATTTACACATCTTCAGCACGTGTGCATTCTAGAAACATTTAACATTTGGTGCCCCCACCAAGCCGAACTGTGCTCACAATTCTAATAAGTCGTGCATATTTTCAGTCGAGCAGGTTTTTAGTGCCCGCCAGAGTTCGAGTGCTGTAGTGCACCTGAGCTGCGCATTAATAGGAAATGAATATTCATGAAGAAATGGCAGGTGAAAATAGGTCCGCTCTGGGTAAATCCGGTCGCAGGTCGCCATCGTAGAAGGCAAACAAGACTAGTGGGCAGGTGAAAAGGGATAAAATAACTCTTTCAGAGTCAAAGAGGATTCATGTTCTTAAGAGGGTACGAATATGACTTAGGCTCTGTTTGATCCCCCCTAATTCCTAGGACGGTCCAACTAGATCCTAGTTTCAGCTAGAGAAATGCTATATTCATGGTTCGGCCACTATAAAACCATGAGATGAGGACATAAAGCAGTCTGCTTCCGCGCTTGGAGATGTCAATCTTTTAATCGCGTCCATCTGTGCAATGGCCCGTGGGCTGTGTGGATTAGTGTGGCATGGGGCCGAGCATTGGCTAACGAGGAGGACGAAGACCAATGGGGAGGAGCTGAGCTGCGTGGGAGAGTCCTTGTTCACTAATATCTGGGCGCACCAGTGCTGTAAAAAGTTTTTCGGGGCAGTTCGGCGCCAGGGAGGAGCAGTCTGCGTTCTTGCTACTTCCGTGGACATGTCGACCTATCCAGGGAGCTTTCTCATGAGCTTACAAGAGTTTGCAGGTTTCACCTGGGTGAAACTTGTAAACGAGATTTCTGAAACAGCGAGAGTGGAAAATACCTCTCGTAGCCGAACTGCGCCATTTTTTCAAACATTTGACTCCCTGCACCCCCAACTTATCCGTCGGGCCGAGAAATTAAATAGACATCTTCGATCAACTATTGAAAATAGCCAGCTAAGTTGCCACATGACACAGTCGACTAGCGAAACATAGTGCAGCACCTTTTGGACAATCCCGCCACACTTGGTTGTTTGAGAAGGGCAGGGGTCGTATAAGCTCTTAGGAATGGTCTTTCCGATGCGCAGGACTAGCATACAACTATTACTTCTGAAATAAATAGTTGATTGGTGACGACCTCCGCTCGTGGTAGGAAGTTGAGGAAGCTCAGCAAGATAAAAGGTAGAACAGGGAAGCCCTTCGACATGAGAAAATTGGGGGATTGTACTGACACCCTCCTTTCACGCATTACGGTCCTGACCCTGTGGGGGGGGGCAATTAGAATGAGAGCTTTTGAATCTAAGTGAGAGTCTTGAGTATTCCTGAGTGGTTGAGTTGCGATGAACTAGGCTTCTTGCATTTGAGGTGAATGAGAATATATCAAGGCTGGATTCTGAGAGGATATCCTAGGGATGGTCTGGGAAATAGGTGTGGTCGTGCTCTAATCGGCCTAGGAGATATCTTATGGTTCTTCGACCACAGATTACGTAACGTTGGAGCAGCTGGTTGACTAGAGCGATCTGTTCAAAGAAAGAGCGATGCCGACGACGTCTTTTCATGAACAGCGCTGTCACAAAGGGACGGAAGCGCGGGCCAGCGAGCCGAAGATCGGCGAATTCGTCGTGACAGGGTGAATGATGTCAAACGGAGCGCTACGGAAAAGTAACTTGGAGGCTTTGGGGGAGGGAAGGGGGTTCTGACTCCTATATAACTAGACAGTAGGCAGAGCAGAAACCTTCATTCTGGATCTCAAGTAACTTTTGATAGAGAAAGGGTTCTAGAAATGACGGGGCAGCTTACTGCTTGGAAAAAAACATAGTCAACCCGAATCTGGACCGTCTTCAGAGCGCATTGATCCAGTGATTTGAGTAAATTGTGTCGGACTGAAGGATCAAATTCTGGGCTGAACATAAAGATAACCCTAGTGGGATTTTCGTAGCATTTATTCCTTCCGTAGCTATAAGAAGCGGTCAGATGGTGTGACGTAACTGCATGTGACGACCGCTACTCGCTGGAGGGACCTTCTAGGCGCTGTCTGGTTTAGGGAGGGCATTTCGTAAATTTCAGTGAACCTTGTCGAGCCACGAAATGTTCCGACCTTCATTTTCAAATCACTTCCAGCACAAATCGCTGCTGTATCCAAACCAGAATATATTACCCTCTTGAATTGGTGCGAAAGTCCTCACACCCCAGCTCACTACCGTTTCTGGGAAATGGCGCTATGTAGCATTGTAGCATAGAGGAGTACAGCACCTTATGAAATTGTCCAGTACCTCTACAGGAGTTTACAAGACGTCCCCCTCCCCTCTTATTCTGAGCCAGACTGGTCGGCGTTACAGCTGACTGACTGAGAAGAGATGAGTTTAGAATTTTTTGGAATCAAAGATTAAAATACGAAAAAGCAACAACTTTTAAATGACTACTGCAGGTTGTTGTAAGGAAATTCATCAGCGCAAAAAGGACAAAGAATACATTTGAGAGACAAAGGAAAATCACTGAAAATGAAAATTCATTGAAAAATCGAACAAATGAGAAATATTGGGGGGGGGGGGAGGGGAAGCAATGAGTGATTCAGCTTTCACTTCGCACGTCTGCTTAGACAGAAGCCGTAATCTCGTCTGTGTCCGTCAGTAAGACTAGGGAGGAACATCGAGTTCGACCACCCCCTCCCCTAGACAGATCTACCAGAGGCGTTCAACGGAACGATCGGAATAGCGGTGCTTCAGACGTTTATAGCTCGTGACACCGATTTGCAAAGTTGAATTACGTGAAGGTCACTTGCATACGACGACGACGACGACAGAACCGACGAAATTGCGCGGCACACACGCAAAAACATGGCGCCGATGGGCGGGGCACGAGTGAAAATTGCCCCCGTCCCTGAGTCAGAGCGGCTCGTCTTCAATGACAACGCTGTCATGTAAAGAAGCGTTTCACAAAGTGTCAGCGACGGGGCAGAACGTTGACATTCAGCTCGCTAGA